TACGTAGCCCCAGGCTGGCCTTGAGCTCATGGTGATCCTCCTGCCTCAGCTTCCCCATGCTGGGATCACTGGTGTGTGCCACCATACCCTGCTTCTATCTAATTTTAAAAAACCCACACACAAAAAAAGGGGAATGGAAACTTAGACAAAGCTGTAAAACATGCATTAAAAATAAAGTAGAACTGATCATGTTCCTGTTGAATACAATCAAATTTTCCAAGAGTGTGTGGCACAGAGGAAACAAACACTGTCAGTGGCCGTGGCCGGTGCGCACTGAGTTCTAGGCTGCCTCGTTTCCCGGCCGGGGACCTGCGCTTGCTCACCTCTCCAGGCAGAGTGGGCAGTGACTTGTTTTGGCGTTGGCCACGAGCGTGAGAACCCTGGCTGCCCTCGAGGCCACTATCTGGTTCCCGCGGGCAGGACGAGGAAGTGAGTACCACTCTGTGGGCCTCAGTGTCCCCAGGGCTCCCGTGTGACAGGTGTAGGCCTGGCTAGTGCTTTTGGAGGTGGAGGAAGCTTTAAGAGGAGGGGCCAGGCAAGAGGACTTTGGGGCACCGGGGACGACTGTGGGACTCCCGGGCCCTCTGTGGGTCACTCCTGCCATGACGCTTTGCCTGCACCAGGCTCTAAGGGAAGATCGCACCTGGTCTTGCATGGAAACCTCCAAGGCTGTGAGCCTGAATGCACCTTTCTTCCCCATGTGGAGGACCTCAGGCATTTTGTCACAGTGACGGGCAACTGCTCGACATGGAGTCACTGCCCATCACAGGGCATCCACAGCAGATCTGGAATGGCCTAGAGCTAAATGTCCCTCAGAATCCCACAAGTGTGGAAGGTGACAGGACCGTGGGACCACGAGTCAGTCTACTGATGGCTGTTAGGAGCTGGGGCCTGGTCAGGGGAGAGGGGTTTCTCCCTCCCTAGCTTCTCCTTTCTCCCTGATTCCTGGCCACCAGGCCTCGGAGCCAGCCAGCGGCAGACAGAACCATCTAAAAGCCGGAGCCGGAATACACCCCTTCTCGTCTGAGTCATGGGTGTTGTGTTGGGCATTTTATCCCAGCGAGGAGAAAGTGGCCGAGATACTTTCGGTGAGCAAGAAACAAGTCTTTGGCATTTTGAGCCACTGAGATTTGGGGACTCTTTGCTACTCACGCATAACTTCTCATAGCCTATCTAATACAGCCTAACCCTGACCCTCACTTACTGAACAAACAACAACTAGACCACAAGAAGGACGAATAGAAAAAGTCAGTGCACTTTTCAACAGCCTGAGCCCTCAGTAAATAAAACATAGAAGATGTTAGGGGCTGGGGATTTAGCTTGGTGGTTCTTCCTGCCACCTGCCTTGCAAGTGCAAGGTCCCGAGTTTGATGCCAGGTACAAAAAATAAATTAATAAATAAATAAGGGCATTAAATATTTCCAGAATTTTAAACTCTGTAAACAGGCATTCATCTTTTTTAAAAATTTAGTTTTAGGTCTGGGGATTTAGCTGAGTGGTGCTGATGCCTGCCTCGCAAGTGCAAGGTCTTGAGTTCAATCCCTGGTACCAAAAAAACAATAATAAAAATTTAAAAAATTTAACTTTAGTGCCTGTCTACAGTACATAGCGGTCACATGTGTGATGGGGAGTTGGTGCGTGAACATAACGTGCACCATATATTAATTCTCCCACCTCCCCTTCTCTCTGCCTTGAGGTATTCATCTCATTTTCAAAGGACCTGTGTATCATTTACACGGACGGTTGAGTAAAACATAGGAATTGATGATTTTTTTTTTTTTTTTTTTGGTACCAGGGATTGAACTCGGGTCCTTGCGCTTGCAAGGCAGGTGGTGGAACCACTGAGCTAAATCCCCAGATCAGAAATTGATGATTTAATAAAGCAGAAATAAACAAGCACGGAGCCCAAGCTCAAAAATACTGAAGTATTTTTGTATATTTTGTGTAAAGTATATGAATTCAGCCAAAATGAAATTGCACCTGAAGGGGGAAGAAAATCAAGACTATTATAGAGAAAATAAGAATTTGAGAAATGCTACAGACCAAACCTTCGGGGTGTAGACACCACGGGGTGTGCCCTGTGGGTGTTCAGTTATGTATTTAGAGAATACAGGAAACAGTAGGGATGACGTGTGAGGCAGTTAGTATACATAAGAAGGCAAATCAATTGGAAGATAACAAGTTATTAGAACTCAAAGCTTATGTAACGTATCTTGAAAACAATGTAAAAAGTCACGGAAACGGTTGACCTTTTCACAGATCTGACACTGGAGGCCCCGTGTCATGCGGAGGGGCAGCTGTTCTCTTACCCGTGTGACCTGTGTGGTCCCCACTCCGGGCAGCTGCCCTGCCATTGGCCCGAAGGCTCCTGCCAGAAGGGGACAGCAGGTTACAGGACCCGGGGCAAGTTCCCCAGTGGGAAGGCCGCAGGTGGGCCATGGACCCTGGGAGGCCAGAGGGCAGGGAGGCAGATGAGGAAACCTTACAGAGATACATCCGTGGGACTCAAAGGCCACACGGAGGAGGTGGGCAGAACAGCGCTGGAGCAGGAGTGAAATCAGGGGCATGGGAGCAAAGTGCAGCCCTGGAGCAAGACGAGGGGGCCGTGGGCAGGGGAGGGGCAGACAGGCAGGACGGCGGGGACACTGGTGACTTATCCCTCGCCGTGGTGGGGAGGGTGGGATGGAGGGCCGGGGAGCACAGCCCTCACTTCTGACCTGCTCACCCCGTGTCCCCGCTCCTTCATCCCACCCGACTCTGGCCTGCTTCAGCTCCTGCCCTCAGCTGCCCCCGCCGTGGGAGTGCTCCCTTCCTTAAGTCATCTCTATGTCCACCACTAGGGTTGCAGTCCACTTACCTGTTAACGTATCGGTACTGGTGATTAAACCCAAGGCCTTTGCACTGAGCTGCAACCCGCCCCTTTTTCCTTTTTCATTTGATATAGGGTCTTGCTAAGGTGCTCAGGATGGGCTCTAACCTGGAACCCTCTTGCCTCAGCTTCCTAGAATACTGTGAGATCATAGGCCTGCACCACAGGGAAGTTCTAATGATGCAGTGGGGCCCACTTGGCCCAGAGGACCAGGATTCCAGCCAGTGTCTCGCTGGGCCGAGTTTCCAGCGGGTTCTGGCTGTTGTCATCCGCCATGGGACAGAAGCTCATGGGCTCCAGGTGGCTGGGAAGGAGGTCTGACCTGGGCTCTCAGGGAATCTCAGGGGTTTGCACACATTTCTGGTTGCTCCAGCGCCTCCCGGTCCTCGCCAGCTTTCCAGCAGAGCTCCCTGGCTGGGATAACACAGGATTCCAGACTCCAGGTGTGGCTGCAAGAGGAGGCCTGGTGCCTCTCGCCCTCCTGAGTGGCCTGTAAGGATAGCACGTGTGGTTTAGGCCAAGGGCCCTGGGTTCCTGGCAGTGTGGACGCTGTCCACTGGGGAGACCCTGTGGCACCCAGTGGTGCCCCCAGCACCTGGGACTTGCAAACACTCCTGTCTCCTCTGGGCTCCTGGAAGAAGTGCCCACCTCCTCAGCAGCACAACCCACAGGGTCCATGTGGCTCCTTCCTGGCTCTGCTGCCCCTTGGAGCGGTGCATGGAGCACATGCAGCTGAGACACTGGCGAGGCCTGGGGGTGGCGGCTGCCACCCTGGCCGGCAGAGGGACCAGGTCTCTGGCAGGGTGGGATGGAGGGAGAAAGCCACGCCCCGGCCTTGGCTGGCCCACAGCAGCGATGGAAATGGGGACGGGTGGGCAGGTGCCAGCCCTAAGGGTGGGCCATCGTCTGCCCGAGAACCTGCCCCTCGGGAACCAGGGTGACCACGCTGGGATGGGGCAGACGACCCGATGCTGCCAACCACCGCCTAGAACAGTGGCTCTGGATCCCTTGAGCAGGGCCTCCCAGCTCCCAGCCCCCCTGGGCTGGGTGTCCCAAACCACGGGCTGCCACCAGCCCGAGAGGCTCTGTGTGTCCTTGCTTTCCAACAAAAGACAAGCAGGAAGGGCTGCACAGGGGCCCTGCCCAGAGAGGATGGAGTGAGATGATCTTTGAACTATGTAAAGGTTTCCTGCTAGTTTTCGGAGGAGAGTCTAATTTAAATTACATACACAAATTCTAAATCTTTGTTCCTAATTTCTCATCCAAGGATCCACAGAGCTTAGGAACTCCGGTTGTTAGCAGCTCCAGCACAGAATAAAACCACAGCCTTAGTCACAAAGCAAATAGGAAATCTGAACTTCTCAGGCCTCAGCTTCTGGGAGATGCATTCTCAATCCCTGGGGTGCTAGGTCCCAGGTGCTGGCAGAGCTGCAGCAGGGCACTGCTGAGACGCCTGGGGTGCTGGCTGTCCACAGGGCCCCTGAAGCTTCTCCCTGGCAGAGGCCTCCACCCCAGGCATCTTCCCCTAGGGACAGAGAGGACCCACAGCACTGCGTCCAAGTCCTGACAGCAGCTGCCCAGGTGCTGAGCAAGCTGGCTGGAATCTGTGTGGCTGGTCCTGTCTCAGAGACTCAGCTTCAGCAGGTCAGAGGGCATGGGTAGGCATCTGTTTGTATCAAGCTCCTCACTGGGACTCTGGTGCAAATAAAACTGGAATTGTGAAGCTAGCTGATAGACATACTTGGAGGCAAATGCCTCATCTTCACATTCTTCCCCCACCCCCAGCCTCAGACTAATTCCTCAAAAATAAATACGAGCTAGGTGTGGAGGTGTATGACTGTGGTTACAGCACTTGGGAGGCTGAGGCAGAAGGATCTCTGTGAAGACAGGGCCGGCTTGGGCTACATAGTGAGCTCAAGTCCAGCCTGGAATACCTCTCAATTAATCAATCGATCAATCAAACACAAGCAAGCAAGCAAATAAAGACAGTTTTCAAGATGTTCATGGAATGACATTTTTTTTTTTACATTTTTCAACTAGTTAGGACAAAAAACATTACAATGATTGGCTTCTTTCATTTAGTTACATAAATAAAATTTTTATAAATATCTCTTTATAAACAATATAAATAGTTTTACAACATAAATACATTGATGCATGACATGAATTTACAAACAGCAATGTTTTACAGCTGGTTTTGTCAGTCTCTTAAAAACTGTCCCTTGTCGTCACGTCTGTGTAGGTGTGTGTTTCATGTATATAATATATATATATAATATATAACTTTTTATTTTTCATTTCCAAGAAAAAGACCAAACCATAAAATCATACCCTCCCCTCCCCAAATAATAATAAAACAGCTGGTGTTGTGTATTCCCAGTACCAGGGGGAAAAAAAAAAATGTGAAAGCCACATCACATTGGAGGTGTTTCCAGATGCTGGCGGCTGGTGACCAAGGGTGACCTCAGCGTGCAGAGCAATTCCCAGTCCTGAAACAGAGGACACAGCATGCTCAGTCCTGGCCCCTCAGCCTGAGGGGTTCTTCTAGAACCTTCCTCCCCTTCCCGCAGCAGCATGAGCCTTGTCCATCTGCCTGGGTCCCACAGCCCCTGACGAAGGCCTTCCTGGCAGGGGAAGAGGCCCTTTCTGGGCTGTGCCTTCTGCGGGCCTTGGTGCTGGTCACTCTAGCACAGGGGGAGCCAGGATGTCGCCAGGCCTCTTCCTGCCTCTACCCAACTACAGCCCTGGGTCAGCAGCACTGGTGAGGCCTGGTGATGCAAAGGGAGGGACCCCCTCTATTTCTTTTCTTTTTTGCTACAACACAAACCCTTACTAGCTGCTTGCCTCTGATTTGTGTGTCTGGGTGACCACACAGAGACAGGAAATAGAAATGTCTGGGGTCTCAGGGATTCTGACCTTGATTCCCTGGTGGCTCTGGGTAGCTTTGAGTATTGTTTTCCTCACTTATAAAACAGGTACCGGCCACCTCCCAGGGCGAGTGTCAGCCCTCTGCAGTGGCTAGGTCAAAGCTGCCACTGAGTCAGCAGCACTTTCTTCCTTCGCAGGGACCCCTGGGAGTGGAGAGGCCTGGGTCCAGCTGGGGACGGGCAGCCTGGCTGCTGGGGGCTTGGGAGGACCTCACGATGGGGGTGCTGTGCTCAGCCCTTGACCTCGGGTGTGTGACCCAAGCAAGGCGTCCTTCTCCCTCCCGAAGGGCAGCACGTGCACAGGGACCCGGGCTGGCACGGCTTGGTCAGCGCTCTCCACGGGCTTCCCCGGCTGTCCCACGTGTTTAAACAGATGGCAGACGTCTGTGATGTGCATGGGGCTCAGGGGCAAAGTGTTCATCGGGGTTCCAGCCACGCCTAGTGTCTATCATTAGCATTTTATAATCAAGACCTATAACCACCAGCGACGGTCATTATGGTGGTGCTGAGCCCAAGTAACCCCAGAGTGGAGAAATGGACACAGCCTCAGCAGAGTTTCCTTCTGTCTTTCTCTTGAAGATGGGGCCGGGTGTCTTCATGTGGGAACTGACTTCCTGTGCCCCTGGGGACGAGCATGGCAAGAAGGCTAAGGCTGTTGGCAGTGGGTCCTCATCTAAGCGAAGAGACCGTCCAGGGGGCTGGTGACCTCCCTGGTCAGATGGTGAAGTCTTAGCATCTGGATACCTCCTACCTGTCTCTCAAGCCACCCACATGGGCACCCCGAGGGCACCACGCCCAAGAGCGAGGTACCTTGAAGAAGCGTCTCAGCGCCAGCCCAGAGAAGTTCCACTCACTTCTGTTTAGATTCTGAGTCTGAGCTTGGTGCTTACTTCACAAACTGAAAATGTTGTTTCAGCCTCCATCTCGTCATTGTTCGAGACAGGAGAGAAGAGAGCAGACATCGCACCGGTAGCTCTAAAGCCTGCCCCCAAGGATGCATGAAGGGAGGGTCAGGATCACCGACCTCTGCAGAAGCGGAGAGCAGCACACGGCCCCCCAAAGCTGGCTGCAGATGGAGGAAAGGGGCCAAGGAACCCAGCAGGCGGAGGCATGTGACTCCCTCTGGGCACTGACAAATATTCTTAAGAGCGAGCGGCACAGGTCATGTTTGCCTTAGGCCAGTGTCTGGCCCTGAAGTTGGCATGAGTTCATATAGGGACAGGGACAGGAACATGTGCAGAAACTGCCGGTACCTCCTACGAGACTGAGATGTAAAAAAGGCTCGGGCAACGCGCTGGAGAGGCGCTCTTGGTTCCCACCCAGGAGAAGGCTGTGTGTGGCCGCTGGCCAGCTTCCCTGCCTGACTGCAGCAGCTGGATTGGGGTCAGTGCTAGAAAGCAGCAGGGCCCGACCCTAGCCAATTCCGGAGTCTGTGCCAGATGCTCTCCCGTGCACTGGAGGGCAGTGGGAACGCAGAGGAGCCTGCCACAGCAGCCTGTCGGCGAGTGGTGCCTGGGAGGGCAAGGTCTCCACCCTGGAGGAGGGTGAAGAGGCCGATGGGTGAGAACTTCCACTTGGGACCTGTCAAGTTTGAGGTCGGGGCAGGAGGTAAGCTTTACATTAGTCTGCACATCTGTCTGCCGTGAAACCAGGTCAGGAACACCAAGCTGCCCCCGCAGCAGCCTCAGGACCCTGGACAGACCAGTTTGCCCACAGCCAGGTTAGAGAGAGAAGGGCCGCGGATCAGGAGCCCCAGGGGAAGGGCATCCGGAGGCTGCCAGCCGGGCTGCCGCTTCCCCACCTCCGTCCTGACGCTTGGCCCCCAGCCCAGTTCCCCTCAATCCATCAGTGGCCACCCGGGCCAAGGCTGCTAGTTCGCCCATGGTGGCAGTGGTGAGCCCAAAGGCCTGTTTCTGCTTCTCCGGAGAAAGCCAGACGGCTCATCCGGGCGGAACCCTTTTTGGCCTTGCCTTTCCCCTAACCACTTTATCCCCCACTTCCTTATCTGTAAAATGGGCCGATAAATGGCTGGCGGGCAAAGCCTCGTGCACACTGGATCTCATGCCAGGATCGCCTGGCCCCACTCCGAAGGCCGGCTGGGTTGCACATCCGGCCCGGGCCCACGCATCAGCGAG